ACTCTGGACTTCAACTTTTCTATCAAAAAATACTATAGCTGATCCTAGCGCTCTCTGCTTTTTGACCTTGTGAAAAGGTGAGTTGTGTTTCATTCCAGTGATCTTCTTTATACTAGAGACAAGGTAGTCGTTACTACTGCAAAAGGTAAGTTTATTCTTGATTTCGATCCTCTTTCCATCTTGCTCTGATTGTAAGAAAAGGTAAGTGTTATAGGTATAGAGAGTTGAAAGAGGATCAAGGGAAGAAGGGAGTCAAGATCGGGGAAGAGAGTAGGGTTTGAGAGGGATAGGCATTCGGGAAGTTTATTATCAATTTCTTTCGTAAGTCTTTTCCCAAAATAAAAATGAACTTAAATACTCAACTCTCAACTCGGCTGGTACTTTGGGTTGGGTTTAGGAACCCGAGCCGGTCGTCTGCTGCCTTCAACAATCTCCTCCCCAGCAAGACTGACCTTGTCCTCAAGGTCCAAATATGGGAATCTGCTCCACAGCGCCTTCGTCGGCTGGTAAGTGCTGCCATTGCACCAAGGACTCCACCACCATCTTCCGGCCAACGCGAGCCCAACGAGTGTCCAGCACCCACTCTACATGGAGCTCAAAATCACCATCCGCGAACACCGGTGGACTCAAAATCTCAGCCGCTGTCGCCGCCACTCTACAGGGCTTCAAAAAGGAGACATGAAAAGTCGAATGAATCTGTGCGCCTTCTGGTAGCTCCAATTTGTATGCAACCTGCCCAACACGTGCCAGTACCCGATACAGGCCGAAATACCGAGCAACCAATTTTTGATAGGCTCGACAGAACCGAAGATTGGTTATAAGGATGCAGCCTCAACAAGACCCAATCCCCTTCCTTAAACTCGACATTGCGCCTGCCCGCATCCACCATCTGCTTTGTTTGATTTTTGGTGGTAGCCAACGTCGTATTCAGTTGCTCGAGTGCCTCTCACGTGCTGCCAACAACTGACCGACCGCATCTACTGGGCTCCCTCCCAGTTTGTACATCATGCTCATTGGTGGTTCACGACTATACAGAGCATGAAATGGGGACGTTCCGATAGTCCAATGGTGAGTAGTGTTATACCATAACTCGGCCCAGGGGAGCATCGCTAACCATTTTTGCGGCTGATGATGTGCGAAACAGCAAAGATATTGCTCAAGGCACTTGTTGACAATCTCCGTCTCTCCGTCGGACTGTGGATGGTACGCGGAACTCATGTGAATCTTTGTTCTGGTCAGGCCAAACAATTCCTTCCAAAAGTGCCCTAGAAAAAGGGCATCCCGATCGCAAACAATGGTGACGGGGATTCCATGATGTTTCACCACTCCCTGCACAAATAATTCAGCCACTTTCTTGGTCTTGTATGGGTGTGATAATGCCATGAAATGGGCGTATTTAGTCAATCGATCCACCACGACCAACAATGCGGATTTTCCTACAGAAGGTGGCAATCCAACCACAAAATCCATACTCACATCCTCCCACACTGTCTCGGGTATCGGCAGCGGCTGAAGCAACCCCGCCGGTCGAAGCGACGAGACTTTGACTCGTTGACATGTGTCGCACGAGGCCTCATAATCCCACACCAAGTCGGCCATTCGAGGCCAGTAAAAATTCCCATGAACTCGCAGCAGAGTACGTTTTACTCCTAAATGGCCTCCTATAGGAGAGTCATGAAACTCCTGTAATACAGTCGTGACCAGAGACGAGTGAGGCGAAAGAATTATCCTTCCCTTGAAGAACACCATCCCATGGCGGAAAGTGTACGCGTCTGGATCCGACGACAAGGCCACCTATTTTCTAAGATAGCTTGTCGTACCTCGTCCCAAAATTTACTGACAGGCCGAGAAACGAGAGACAGGAGCGCGCCACCTATGCTCCGGGAAAGACCATCTGCAGCCAAATTCGTCGGTCCGGTTTATAGTGGATTTCATAGTCACACCCAAGAAGCTTAGAAAGCCATTTGTGTTGATCCGGCGTCGAAATCCGATGATCCAAAAGGTGCTTCAAACTTTGGTGGTCGGTGTAAATGTGAAACTTTTGCCCAGTAGATAAGGCCGCAACATCTGGACTGCCATGACAACTGCTAGCATCTTCTTCTGGTATGTATACCAGGCTGTCTTTGCCAGTGAGAGCGTGCGACTCATATAATCGATGGGGTGGTGGTTCTGTGATAAAACCGACATCGCTAGCGTCGGCGTGCACGTCATGGCCCTCTGCAAGGCACGGAATTTTTCATCCACCTTCGCCGTCCACTCTAACGCTCCCTTGCGCAATGAGTTGGTCAACGGTCTTGCGATGGAGCCATAGTTTTGAACAAACTTTCTAAAGTACTCGGTCAGCCCCAAAAATCCTTGGAGTTCGGTCACATTCAATGGTTGCGGCCAATCAAGCATGGCATGTATCTTGGTCGGATAAACCTTCACCCCTTCATGCGATATAACATAACCAAGGTACTCGACCTCCTGCACCCCAAATGCATATTTTGAAGCCTTTGCGTAGTATCCTTCCCGTCGTAAGATGTCGAATACTCCCTTGAGTTGTGATAGATGATCCGCCCAGCTCTTACAGTAAACCAGAATATCGTCAGAGAAAACCAAGACATGCTTCCATAAAACATTCCTGAAAATGTCGTTCATCGCTGCCTGGAATGTGGACGAGGCATTACACAACCCAAATGGCATCACCAATTACTCATAATGCCCGTTATGTGTGCGAAACGTCGTCTTATGCACATCAGTCTCCTCCATCCGGATTTGGTGGTAGCCAGCACGCAAGTCCAACTTAGTGAAATAAAGTGACCCATGTAACTCATCTAACATATCCTCCAGCGTCGTAATAGGAAACCGATCCTTGAATGTCACCGTGTTCATGGCTCAATAATCCGTACAGAAGCGCCACGTCCCATCCTTCTTCCGCACTAACATACTCGACTCTCAACTCGGCTGGTACTTTGGGTTGGGTTTAGGAATCCAAGCCGATCGTTTGGTGCCTTCAACAGTAAGCGCTTCAAATAATCTGTCAGCCTTGCACCTTGATTCTTTTCGTTCATTCAGCATCTTGAATTTGTACTTGCGCTGATTCTCTTGTTCTGAACCACTTGAGACCATTGATCAGCTTCCAATCAACAGAGACCTTCCCTTTGGTGGCCTTTCCCAACTAAGCAACTTTGAAACAGGTGTCTTCGAACACACATGGCTTTTTTGTGCACTAATATGAACTTATATACACTGGGCACTGTCACGGAGGAAATTCTAGAATGGTCTAGAAGGATGTAGGTGCATGCATGTATCTCTAGATTCATGCACTCATGCACATGCATCCTCCCTATTTATTATGATTCATGTATAGGTGAACATACATTCACCATATTAATTATCATTCATGTATGGTGCTAGTTCATGTATGGGGGGACTTCTAGGTTCGTTCATTTATGATAGCCCACATACAATGTACCTTGTGGAGAGGATGCCTATATAAGCATCCCTCTCCCTCATTTTTCATTCATCTAGAAATTGAGAGTTTGCATCTCTAGAGTTTTCTCCCAACTTGTGAGTTTGAGTGAATGCGAGCTAGACTAACTTAGTGCTCTAACAAGACTTGAGTGTTAAATGCCGCATGACCAAGAGTTGGTCCGTGACACCACCCTACCACACCTACTCTACACAATTTTCATTTTTTCGGATGCAAATCTTTTGCATTTCAAAAGATAATAGAGGAAATTTTTATTCAAAAATCTTATCCATGTAGTTTTGTGGGATATTCAATAAATGACAAGCCTATAGAGTTTTTGACAAAGTAACAAGAAAAGCAGAAGAAGATGTGTTTGAAAAGTTTGATGAATAATTTATGTTATTTGTCATTGTTAGAATTAGTGCATTCTAGTTAATAAAAAAAAAATAGTGCATTCTATGAATGCTTGCATTATAAATTGATATATTGTTTAAATGTATTCATTTTAAGATTATGACTTTTGCTAGTTGTTATTTATTTATTTTTTTGCCAAAGATATTCCGGAAGGAATAGCAAGATACGAAAATATACAAGACCAAACGGTCAGGGAAAAGAAACAAGAGCAAAACGATGGTCAACCAGACGCTGAACCATCGATGCGAGGGCCTGTTTTGCCATGGAATGGGCAGCCCTGTTATATCTACGAGGAGCGAAATGAAACGAAACACGCGCATGAGAAGTCCGCAACACCTGAACCTCATTCAGAATTGCCCCCCCCCCCCCAAAGCGTGATTCGAATCCTTCGCGGACACCATCCGGATAACGACCTGCGCATCACCATAAAACAGAACATTAGTTACGGAATGTGAAAGGAACCAACGCATGGCATCCCGAAGCGCCAATAGTTCAATAAGAAAAAGATCGTGAACTTCCGCGTAGGAACGCCCATAAGCAAAAGAGACAACATTCTGAGATGCGAAGCCAACAAAACCGATGGCACCCCCAAAGGATTCCTTAGTAGCTCCGTCAAAATGAACAAGCATGAATCCAGAAGGAATAGCAGGTGGAGTTGAATTGCGGCAAGCAGTCGGTGATTGAAGATGCTGCCGGCGTCTTGCAGTCCCTGATTCTTGAGCTGAAAACCATTCCGCAGTTTGACAGTTAAACTGTAGCAGCAAATTGGTAGTTGTTATTTTAATCTTAGGAATAATATGAAAAAGGCAAAATACATATGTATAGCCAAAACTTTCACCTTTGTGACAATAATAGCCACTTTTGGAGAAATACCAAAAATAGCCACAATTTCAATGTTCTTATGACAAATCTAGCCAATTCCGTTACAAACTTTGACGGTGTTAATGTCACCGTCAGTTATCTAAACGGAATGCTGACTAAGATGACAACTCAGCACCCACGTCAGCGACAACTCAGCAGTTGGTGACATGTAGATGACACGTGTCATTTTAATTAATATTTTAAGAGTTTTTATAAAAAAATTAATTCCAATTATAAAAATAAAATAATTATTACTTTCTCCCCATCCCCGTGTGATCTTCCCTTTCCTTTTCATCTCTCTACGCGGATCTGTTCTTCCCAAAATAATCAAGCTCTACCACCTCCATAACTTCCCAAATCAAAACAAGAATACAATATCAATCTCTAGCCATCAACCATAAGAACATCATAAATCAAAGCAAAATGAATCTCATCAAACACACAGGCGACCTCTTCTCCAGCATCCGCCAGTGAAACCGGATCCGTCGACCCCCATGGCGGCGTCGAAAGCAGAAGAGGTGATCGATTCTCCTTCCCTGTCGCCTGGCGCTCGATTCTCCTTCATTGTTGTTTGTCTAGGCCCTGGATTTGAGGCATCGAAGAAGAACTACTTCCTCCTCGGCCACACCCACCTCCACAGTCCCTCTCCTCCGTCGTCCATATCCTTCCCCCTTCGAATCGCACATCATCCTTGTCGTCCTCCCCGAGAAGACGGAGGAGCGAGTCAATCGCTGAGTTCCTGGACTCGGCACCCCCGATCTGGAAATGGAAGCCGAGAAATCGCTGGAATCGACGAGCAGGGGAAGTCGACGACCCCAACATCCCCGAGCGCACTCATCCCGCCGTCGCTGTTGTATCACCTCTGCATCTAGCCGCCGCCAGCTCCTGTTGCCTCAATGTCGAGTTTCCATCGCCGTCCAGGCCATCGAAGAAAGGAGGAACCTGGAGCAAGTGTTGAAAAAAAAAACATTGAAAAGTAGATTGGAGGAAAGGAAGGGATGAAGATGATGTTGCTGGCGGCAGGGAAAGAGCTAGAAGGCATCTTCAATTTAGGGTTAGGGTTGGGTTGCTGGGAAGTGGGAGCACAAAATAGTGCATTTTTTTTTTCATTCTTATTAAATCATAAAAATTTGCATTTATGTTATGTATATTTGTTTTGTTAATCCACGTGTTCGAACAAATATCGCCAGGTCAGCATTTTCGTTTGTCCAGTCAGCCTATTAGTTAACACCGTTAAAGAATTGGACGGAAGTGGCTATAAGTGGTATTTCTCCAAAATTGGCTATTATTGGCAAAACCTCGAAAGTTTTGGCTATACAAGTGTATTTTGCCTATGAAAAAATTATTTTTTCAATGAAAAGTCATCTTTACTATTCTTTTTTAAAATATAAAAGTCAATCATGCATAAAGGTTGATAGGGATATATAAGGAAAGAAAATTTATTTTTTTTAGATTGTAAGTTGTAACTCATTCAAAATGAATGATTTCAAGTGTCACATCATTGATAGATTATGACTTCTGGTCACTCAAATTAGATAAATATTTCACGTTTGCCACCCGAATTACTTTTCTTTCTTATTAGCCAATAACTTTACAATTTGTTTCACCGTTAGTCACCGGCCGTCAGTCTCCGTCAAACTCAGTTAACACCGTTAGATTTTTAATGACGTGACAAACGGGAGTGCTGACTGTACCATTAAATCAATGACATGTCAATTAAAAATTAAAAAAATTAAAAAATAAATAAATAGAAAAAGTAGGTAGAGGAGTGGTCCTTCCCCTCCCTCGTCTTCTCCGCCTTCCCCATCTTCACGAAGGAGTTGCTCCACCGTCGGGTCCCGGAGATCACCTCCATCCTACTCCGGCTCCACTAGTGCTCCGATTAGGGAAAATGGGGCTTAAGGCCACTCCTCTTTCTATTTTATTTATTTATTTTCTTTTAATTTTGTAATTTTTTTAATGGACATGTCATTAAGTTAATGTTCCAGTTAGCACTCATGTTTGCCACGTCATAAAAAATCTAACGATGTTAACGGAGTATAACGAAGACTGACGGTCGGTGACTAACGGTGAAACAAATAGTAAAGTTAGTGGCTAATAAGAAAGAAAAGTAATTCGAGTGGCAAACGTGAAAGATTTATGTAATTGGAATCACCAAACGTGTAATTTTGCCAAATATTTATGTTATTTGTCATTGTTAGAATTGGTGCATTCTATGAATGCTTGAATTATAAATTGATGTATTGTTTAAATGTATTATTTTAAGATTATGACTTTTGGTAGTTGTTATTTATCTTAGGAATAATATGAAAAAGTTATTTTTTCAATGAAAAGTCATGTTTACTATTCTTTTTTAATATATAAGTCAACCATACCTACATAAAAGTTTATAGGGATACATAAGGAAAGAATATTTTTTTTAGATTGTTATAAGGAAATGTTTTTAAGAATGAATGATTTCAAGTGTCACATCAACGATAAAATGCATGCATTGTGTTTTATTTTGAACAAGAAAAGGATAGGTTCTAATTAATGTGTGCATTCACTAAATATATCATTTAGATAAGCATATACCAAATGAGTATGGAATCATCTTAAAATCCATATAAGGAAAATCGGTTGGATATCCGTAACCCTAAAAAAAAGGACGGGTATGATATACCCAAATACTAGTTCCCCGTTGCCCACCCCTAAAAGTAGTGCATATGTTCGCTCGAAATAATATGAAAATATAAAATTCTATTACCCGTAATATACATACATGATTATAACAAAACTAGTTTGTTAATAACTGAGAAGCTCGAGTAATTGTTTTGGTAATTCAATGGCGATTTTATTTCAGTGCGTAATTTAGGTTTTTAGCCCATTAGAACAACCGAGTCATGACTTCTACATACATCATATGAAAAATGAAATACACGAGACGTAAATAGAACAAAATATCAGGCATAGACAGTACTATTATAATGTCGAAATTTCATGAGTCGCCGTAGAGTAGTGGGATTTCGCACGGGACCATCTGTGTTTGTGTGGACGCTGTGCAAATTAGCCATTAGGCGTGCTGCATGAACTGCACCCTCGTCTTTACTCAAAGCTGAATGAAAGGCTGAATTGAAACGTGGTACATAGTGACCACGACTGTTCCTCCAATACCATGTTTGTAGCCATGCAATGAGTTGACGTGGACTCAAATTAAAACAATTTTGTCCGTTAGCTACAAATTATATCAATCATTCAGAAATGTATAGTACCTACACTAACGTCATGGTATAGACGGTTACTAAATGTTTCAATTTTTTTTGTTACAAAAATATATTAAAGTAGATATCAATTTAAAGAAACACAATTTATCTGATTTATGTGTGCAAAAAATATATAAATTTTAACTTAAAACGAAAGAGATATATCACTATATTTATAGGAGAAATGGTTAGGAGCGTTTCATATATGGTGATGTGGCGCTGATGTAGCAGGTTATGAAGGGGTTATTGATCACAAGATTATGCACATGATCCGCTCCCTAATATTTAAGTGATATGAATGATCTAAGTGTTAAATCGAGTGAGTCTAAATCATAATTGTGACACATATACAAGTGAATTGGATGGAAATACTTGAAATATTAAAATCGCACTAAACTCTTTAGACTCTTTGAAGGGTTAGAAAAAACTCACACAAAACAATACTCGTAGAATTTTTCCCCACCAAATTATATCAAACTTTATTGGATATACCAATAGTGATTTAATTTATCATCCCTAAAAAGTGGGATTTGAGAAGTGAGAACCACAGCAACAACAAACCCAATTCAACCAAATCATATTCCAAGGCTAATACTTGGACAAAAATCTTCAGACATCTATATAATCCTAGCCACATTAAATCTCCTTTTAATAGCAACCATGTACCCCGTCGTCCACTATACTGTTGCCACAAACTCCCATATGCGTCTCCATATCCCTTCTCCTCCTTCCACTCCCCTCCTCTTCACCCACCATCGCCACCGCCCTTCCCCCGCCGCCGCCACCAACGTCCTCCTCCCTTCTCCGCGCCACCGCCGTTTCTCCCTCCGCTGCACAATGGACACCTCCGCGCCGCCGCAAGACGAGGTCGCCCACGACTACTCCCCCTTCCTCCGGATCTACAAAACGGGCCGGGTCGAGCGGCTCATGGGCACCGACGTCACCCCTGCGTCACTCGACGCCAAAACCAAGGTCCGATCCAAGGACGTCGTCTTTTCCCCCGACCACAACCTCGTCTCCCGCCTCTACGTCCCCGACGGCGTCAAGCCCAACCAGAAGCTGCCGGTGATCGTCTACTACCACGGCGGCGGCTTCTGCATCGAGACCCCCTTCACCCTCAAGTACCACGAATACGTCAACACCCTATCGGCCCAGGCCAACGCAATCGCCGTCTCGGTCGACTACAGGCTGGCGCCAGAGCATCCCCTGCCGGTCGGCTACGACGATTCGTGGGCCGCGCTGCAGTGGATCGCGTCCCACGCCGGCGGGAGCGGCCCCGAGGAGTGGTTGAACTCGCACGCCGATTTCGGCCGCGTGATCCTGGCAGGGGACAGCGCCGGGGCGAACATCGCGCACCAGATGGCGATACGGAACATTGAAGGCAAGGTGTTCGACGAAATGTCGCTGGGGATGGTGTTGATCCACCCCTATTTCTGGGGGAAGGACCCGATTGGGGGAGAGCCGGTGGAGGCGGAGAGGAGGAAGACGGTGGACGGGATCTGGTACTTCGCTTGCCCGAAGACGAGCGGGTGTGACGACCCGTGGATCAACCCGGTGTTCGACCCGAACCTGGAGAAGCTCGGGTGTGGCAGGGTGCTGGTGGTTGTGGCGGAGAGGGATATACTCAAGGAGAGAGGGAAAGAGTACTACGAGGCGCTGAAGAAGAAGACCGGGTGGGGCGGGGAGGTTGTGTTTTGGGAAGTGAAGGAAGAAGACCATGTGTTCCATTTGCAGAAGAGTACTTGTGACAATGCGCTCTCCATGAATACCAAGATTGTTGAGTTCATCAATGGCGGAAAGTAGCAAATAACGTTGTTTAGGGCTTGAATTCAGAGTGTTTATTGTGTAGGGATCATGAATTGATTCAGGCTTATATGTAAACAGTAAATTGATTCCGGCTTAATTATCATTTTATAAAAAAATTACAATGGACTGTTTCCATTATTCCTCAATTGGATCTAATGCTAATGATCGATTAATTAAGGTCTATTCTCCAGGTTAATTCTGAAAACGATGGAGGATTAGGAATAGGGAGAGTTAAAACTAGGATTTCGAGTGGGTGTTAGTGAAGAGGAAAGGAGAGGGGAGACTATGGAGGAGAGAACAAGGAGAGATGAAGAGTCGTTAGGGTAAGAGGGAGGGAGAGAGATATGTAGAGCTATTGGATTAGTAACTCAAGTGATAATAACTTTCGTCCATAATACCCCAATCAAATTTGTCCACCAGTTCGTAAAAAGAAAGAAAGAGAGAGAATCAAATTATATTGTGATTTTGCAAATACTTTAAGGGGTTGGCACCCGAAGAAAGCAATAATATATAGTAGCGGATTCAGAATTTTTTTAAAAGGGTGTCCTCTTTAAGAAAATAAATAATTAATAATTTAATTAAATAATTAATAATTTAATTAAATAATTAATAATTTAATTAAATAATTCATAAATAAGAAAATACATGATTAGTACAAATTTTAACAAAAGGCCACGACGTGTTTTCATATTTTGAAAAAGAATATAAAATATACTTGACGTCTTCACTGCTCAACAAATCTATATATCATACTCGACAATAGTTCACGAGCTGATCGCATATTCGAATTCTAACCTTGTTCTTTTATGTAACTCAAAGTTGAAAGACTCTTTTAACTCT